TTTATGGGCCATATATTTGTATCTATTAAAAAAAAAAGAAAAAAAGATATATATTTAAAATATATATTTTGCATTGTGACATTTTTAATGACTATTAAGCACATTAAACCTCCACATTCTCATTATTATAATGTAAAAATAAAACAATTAGATATTATTTAACTTGTAAAAAATGTACACGACAGTAGTATTTCTTGTACAGCATTAAAGTTGTTCTTTATAAGGTGGTCCTAATTGTCGCTTAATGAAAATAATGTCACAATGCAAAAAACATGCAATTGTTTTTCTAATGATTTTGGGGTGAAATGTGACTTTGATCAAATGTTTTGTGAGATCCACCTGCTACCAGAAGTCCTTTTTATAAGTTAATGAGTTAACCGTGTTAATGTTTACAGGTCTTGTGTGTTAAAGCATTGATTTTATCACAGCCACGCATTCTCCTCTGGTGTCTGTAATGAAGTCATTCATCATGTAATTTGATGAATGGCTTCTTGGGGCTTATTGCTTTAGTGGAAACTGATGCATTTTATTTTTCAGGATTCACAGATGAATAGAAAGTTCAAAAGAACAGCATTTATTTGAAATAGAAATCTTCTGTTACATTATAAATGTCTTTACTGGCACTTTTGATCAGTTTAATGCGTCTCCAGTGAGCTCAGTCTAATGATCTGCACATGAGAAGAGAGGAGGAGCATCAAACAGCAGCAGATACGGAACACTTCAGACTTTCTGCATGTGTTGATCTGTGAGGATTTACTCTGAATGAAGATGAGTGGAGTTTGATCTGATGCAGTGATTCAGAGAAGCTCTTCAGGACGAGTGCAAATGTCTCTGCCTGTGTTCACACCGCCTGGAATCTGGATCATGTGAGTATTTATTAATATCCTCAAATAAGACCAGAGTTTATATTAATCTGGCAAAGATACTTTGAATGCATTTACAGAAGATGTGATTATTTTAATAGGACACCTATTTCTATTGCAGTGTTAGTTTTGTATCACTGATATACTAGGTTTTTTTTTAATTAGATTTTATTTTTATATTTTCTGTTTTCATTTTAGTTAAAGTTTTTATCATTTTGTTGTGTGTTTTTAAATATTAGTTATTTATAAATAATTATAAAGTATTAACATTTAAATGATTAAATTCTGTGAAGTTTGAAGAACTGAGTGTTCATCATGAGTAATGCATTTACGTTACTTTTCTAGTCTTTTTTTTTAAGTGATTGGATTTAAAAATGTAGTAATTTCTGCTCTGTAAAAAAATATAGTTGTTTTTTCATTTCAAAGTTGTAGATATCAGGGCACATTTTACAAGTAAATACTATTTCAGTCTTTCTACTTCAAAATTTTATGTTTGATTCAATATATAACTTGCCATTTATTTGTATTTATTTATGAAATTTAGTAGCAAATTTAGTGAAAATTGTTTCTACCCCAATTTTTTCAAAAATTGTTTCTTTTATAGCAATTTATCTATTTGTCTCAATAGATTTCAATTACAATACATATTTTTAAAGGCCGTTTTCTCAAAATTAGTTTTTTTCTCCTACACTTCAGCAGCACTTACACACACCAAACTTTACATTTGGGCGGCGTTATGCAAATCTTCCCACATAGTGATGTAGACATGTGGGGGCGTGTTAGAACGAGCCGTTTTAGGAAGGCGTGGCTGACTCTTAACTTTTATAAAGAATATCGATGGTGAACTCGAGGAATAATTCAGTGAACAGCAGTGTTCTGTTCCCAAGAAAACCATGTGTGAGCTTTAGTTTGATTACAGTTGCTTTGTGTTCTGCATTATGGCGCATTTTATTGTTTGTTTGCGCTGTACTGTCAATATTTTCTTTGGAAAGACAGTTCTGTAATATTTCACTGGTTTATCTTCATGTCCTCGCAGGAAATATATCAGATTTACGACCTGCTATGTGTTTATTAATAGAGTTATGAATTTGAGGGAAGACACTTATCTGAAATATTCCGTAAAAAAAAAAAAAAAAAAAAATATTGGTTAGAAACATATGTTTGTGATTTATAAAAACATGCTCCCAGGGAACGTTTTTAAAAGTTATATAAATGTTATGTCAAAGCAATGTTCATTATAACTTTATTCATATTTGATATAGGCTACATTCTCATAACATGGAGAGAAAACGTTCTCAAATATGATGTTATTTGTACTTTAACTTTCTAAGAAACATTTTGTAACATTCTAATCATGACAATGAAACATTTTAACGCTCTTAGAATATTACAAATAAATGTTTAATTTTGAGTAAAAATAAAGTTTGTAGAGCGCTTTTGTGAAAAAAGAAACGTGTTTGTGACCTTTAAATAAGGTCGTGATCCTCGTGTTTATTTGGAAACATTTAAAAACAATGTCCGCACGAGGTTTATATAACTTCAGCTTGTTAGTTTGGGATTGCAGCCTTTTTTGTTTGTTTCAAGCCGGAAGTGTTTCAATGCTGTGCTGTTACCATGGAGATTGTAAACAAAACACGCTAATACAAACTAACGTGTCTACGCGTTAACATTAGCGATAGCTCAGCATCTGACGGCGGTTTTTTAATGTTTGATGAATAAATATAGCTGTTTTATAGGTTGATCGTTTGCTGAGATGGACTCGCAGTACGTGAGCCGGACTCTGGCGCTCTGTCTCTCTCAGGGTCTCGCGGAGCTGCTCGAGCAGAGGCCACCGGATCCCATCGAGTTCCTGGCGCTCTGGATCCTCAAATACAAGCAGAACCAGGAGCTCCAGGAGCAGGTCACACACACACACACACACACACACACACACACACACACACACACACATGCTTATGTGTTACTGTTAGTAATATTTATTCACTAATATAGTATTTATTAATATTTTGAATTATGTTTTATTTTCAGTTTTCATCTTAATGTTTTAGTTTTAGTAATTTTTTATGTGCTTTTTTAATATATATATATTTCTTTGCAGCTTTAATTTATTTTTATTTCAGGTTTAGTTTTAGTAATTTTAGCACTTAAACATTTAGTCCGGTTAGTTGCCAAGGCAACATTATTAGTTTTTCATCTAATATTTATTTTCTTTTATTTGAGTTACTGACAATTTTTTTAATAGTTTTTGTTAACAATAACACGTGATCAGTATGGATTAAAAATAAAAATTATAATTGCACATTTTTATCTCACAATTCTGAGAAAAAAGTCAGAATTACACGATATAAACTCAGAATTGTGAGATAAAAAGTCACAATAAATTTTTTTATTTTTTAGTCCATCATGAGAAAAAAAAAACACACACTCTCTCTCACACACACACACACACGCACACACTCGCTCGCTCACACGCACACACACACACACAGACAGACACGCACGCACGCACACACACTCACTCACTAACACACACACACGCACACACACACTCATTGTTTTTGTTAACAATAACACTTGATCAGTATGGATTAAAAATAAAAATTATAATTATAAAAATTATCTCACAATTCTGAGAAAAAATTCAGAATTACACGATATAAACTCAGAATTGTGAGATAAAAAGTCACAATAATTTTTTTTATTTTTTAGTCCATCATGAGAAAAAAAACCCAGAAAGACGTTAAATTGGAATTGTGAGAACAAAGTCAGAATTTTGAGATAATATCTCACAATTCAGACATGTTTTCCTCAGAATTGTGAGTTTATATTGGAAACGAAAAATGAAAAGATTTGCTTCATTCATGCTGGCTATCTTTATAAGTTCAAGACGACTGTCATATTGGTTGGTGTAGTTTAAAACTCCACTGAAGTCATATTTTAAGGTGTCTCTCTGCAGATAGATGCTGCACAAGATCCTGGAGACCAGACCGAGTCAGAGACCGTGAAAGAGCTCTCAGATCCACCGAATGAGGCTGCGGCAGAGCATCAGGTGATCAGTCACAAGAAGATCCTCCATCAGAGAGCTTCGCTAAATAAAAGCCGTTTGCGTTTCCCCCATAATTAAGGAGGAGCCCGGCGAAGCTGCTGCAGGTGAGGAACAAACCTCTGAGATCCTGAACACCGACCAATCACAGTCTCAGGACACGCAGGTGAGATCATGTGACGGGCGGATCACAGAGGACCCGTTTCCATGACAACCCAGTGATCTAACCAATCTGTGTTCAGAAGGAAAATGATCGAGCAGATGTCCCATCCGAAGAGAACGAGCCTGAAGCAGAGAAGACAGAAGAAGACTCTGATGAGAGACAGACGGAAACTGAGGACAAAGTGAGAATGCTTGGAGAAATAAACATTTAGAATATCATACAACTATCCTGCTGTTTCAGTACTTCAGTACCATACAAATGTTCTGCATGCTTTAAATACCTGCTAATAACAACATCTAAAAAAAATATTAATGGTGATGGGAGAAACTGATTTTAAACATTTAGAACGCCGCGCACGAGCGACATCTGCTGGTCAAAGCAAGGAAAAGTGCCAATCCAAAAGTGTGATCTATTAAATGCAATCTACCAATCATCATTAAAAACGAAGTGTCTGTATAATGCTATTTGATCTATTTGCGGGGCTTGTTTTGTGTGTATTCAGGCCAGTAAAAGACTATTACAGTTTTTTTAACGGCATAGACACTAAAAGTGGTACTTGAGGCGCACTCAGAGAAACCATTCACTCATGCACCGAATCTTTAGACCAGCTACATTGTTTCACAGCAGCTTCACAACAGTATCAAATTTCAAAGCAGCTCTAACAAGTCAACAGTGTCATTATAGAGCTCAAGTCAGTTCAGCTGCTCTGAAAATTCATCAGTTGTACATGCATACTGTATATACAGTGTATATGTGCATATGCATGTATGTGCGAGCGCTGTGACAACTGTGTGATGTTTTCAATACTGTGTGTGTGTGTGTGTTTTGTGGTTTTGTGAGTAGAGTTTTGAGAAATTGAGGCATAGTTTCAAAAACTGTTTAAGACTTCTTTTTTTTTTAAACTGTAACATTTTTGATATGTGCTCTGAACTGTGTGTGTGTGTGTGTGTGTGTGTGTGTGTTTCACGTGCAGGAGGAAGAGGATGGAGCCTAAACGCCAACATGATGTGTGCTTCACATTCATCTTTGCTACTGCTCACATAAATCTCATGGATATTGATATTAAATTATATTCATGTTTACTGAACTTTTCTGTTATGTTATACGTTACATAATTAGTGTTTGTTAAGTAAGTCTTCATTAGTACTTATGCTGATAGTGATGTGATGTGATGAAACATCTAATCAAAACACCTTAGCAACCATTCAAACTGCCTTAGCAACTGCCCAGAACACCTTAGCAACCACTGAGAACTCTCTAGCAACCTCCCAAAGTGCCTAAGCAACTATCCAAAACACCTTAGCTACCACCACTAATGCCCTAGTAACCACCCAGCAACTTTGAAGAACACCATAGCAACTACCCAATACGCCTTAGCAACTACCCAGAAGGCCTTAGCAACCACCCACAACACCTTAGGAACCACCCAGAATGCCTTAGCAACCACCAAGAATGCCTTAGCAACTACCAGAATGCCCTGACAACTACGCACAATGCCTTAGCAACCACATAGAATGTCTAAACAACCACCCACACCACCTTAGCAACCATCCAGAATGCCCTGGCGACCATCCAGAATGCTCTAGCAACCACCCATAACACACTAGCAACCACTCAGAACACCATAGCAACCACCCACCACCCAGACTGCCTGAGCAACTACCCAGAACACCTTAGTAACCACCCCTAATGCCCTAGAAACCACCCAGCAATTTTGTGGAACACCATAGCAACTACCCAATTCCTCAGCAGCAACCCAGAAGGCCTCAGCAACCATCCAAACGGCCTTAGCAACCACCTACAACACCTTAGTAACCACCCATAACACCCTAGCAACGACCCAGACTGCCTAAGCAACTACCCAGAACAATGTAGCAACGACCCAAACTGCCTAAGCAACTACCCAGAACAACGTAGCAACCACCCTTAATGCCCTAGCAGCCACCCAGCAACTTCACAGAAGTCCATAGCAACCACCCAATTCCTCAGCAGCAACCCAGAAGGCCTCAGCAACCATCCAAACGGCCTTAGCAACCACCTACAACACCTTAGTAACCACCCATAACACCCTAGCAACGACCCAGACTGCCTAAGCAACTACCCAGAACAACGTAGCAACCACCCTTAATGCCCTAGCAGCCACCCAGCAACTTCACAAAAGTCCATAGCAACCACCCAGAATGCCTTAGCAGCTACCCAAAACACACAATTTGCTATTCTGTTGAGTTTTTAATCAAGTTAATCCAAATTAAGTTTGAGATATTTAAGAAAAATAGGTCTTAAATATCTTTTTGGTTTCTATTTTAAATTTTAGTAACTAAGGTATGGTTTTCTCCATGAAAATAGTCAATGAAGCAAGCATGACATTTTAATAAAATTCCTCAGAAACCCTGAGCGGCTGTTCTGGTTCATTAGCAGCATGATTAGCTGTAATCGGCATGAGAAATCAGTGCAGAAAGAAGGAATGTTTGTGGGAACAGAGGTCAATCTCCTCCCAGCTTACACAATGACTGGATCCAGATCAACATTCACAGCCGCTGAGCTCCATAAAGACCTCGTGAGCTGCTGAACACTGGTCATCATACCACACACACACACACACACACACACACGTCTGGAGACCCTCAGAAGCTCCTTCAGCTCTGCTGCGATGGAGCTGGTGACCTGCGCCGTCAGCTCTCTCGGTCTGACCGTCATCGAGGCATTGCAATCTTTCACTGAGCTGTTTCTCACTCAGCCTCTGTGTGCAGAGCTCTCTCATCTGGGTGAGACCGACCTCAGAACACTGGACGGAGGTGAGTGATGCCAAAAACAGTTTTTTAGTGGATGTATGCAGTTCACACAGAATCACATCAATCAACTTCATTCACTAACTAACCACAAACACACAATACTGACTGTCTTCATCTTCAACATCTACTGATTCAGCATTTGAAACCTACAAACACCTGTCAGTCAAATGTTCTGATTGTAAAGTGTGTTTGTGCATCTTTAGTCACAATAAATGACACTTGATTTGATTTTTTAAATCTAATGAATGACATTCAGACATTTTTAGGTGTGACGAGTGTGAAAATACTTTTTGAGGATCACTAAGAAAATAAGAGAAATATAGTGAAAGTTCAGCGCTGAAAAAATAGTGAATTTGTTTTATTCCTTTTTTGGCATGAATCTCACTATATTTAGATTCTCTGAAAGCAAGCCATTATTTTATGTTTTTATGTTTTGCATTTCGGGTTAATGTATCTCATTTGGATGTTTTATTGGCAAACGAGGCAAATATTTAGTTTGAAAACAGGATTATTTCGCAAAGTCTGACAGATTTCTCCCTCCACGGCTGCTGATGTAACCGTCTCATGACTCTCTGATTACAAAACGCATTGATTTGTCCCTGATGTCCTGCTGAAACACTCTCTTGCTACAGTCTTGAA